TTTTACCGGAAGATCGTAGAAAAATCAGTGACCTCCAATTGTTTTAAGAATTTTGTGCTTCTTAAAAAGACATTGTTAAAAAATAGCTCCAAGAAAGTCTGTTTACATCTGAAAAATACCATGCCGGGCTTTACTAGAAACGTTGTCATCATAGCTCATCTATTATAGAATGCATTGGATAGGAAAACTCCATCGGCTATTAAAAGTACTATCTAGATTTGAACTAACTGCTTAGTACTATAGAAAAAAATATCTCTCTATGAATATTAACCTTATTCAAAAACAAATCGTATTGCAAAAAATACCATATTTTTCTTAATAACAAAAAAAAAAAGATTTTATTATTATTTTTATTTTTATGAAACTATTCGATGAAAAAGATAAATGAAAATTAATTAATAATAGTCTTTTTCTGACATTATATTAATTACTGGAAGAATAGAGACGAATAAAAATCATTTTTTGAGCTCTCTTTAATTTTCTTTCGTTTACGACTTGTTTTATACAGAATTTTATGAGAAACCATTTGATAACAAAATCAAACTACTTCTAAAGCATCCAGACACATGTAAGGTTAAAATATTGAGTATCATAAGTCGATGAGTCATAGATAAGAGAGTAAGGCATGCAAGCTGTCTCATAGTGACACATCTTAAATCGTTAACTATGTCAATCAACTACACATCATACAGTCTATATTTGATGTAAATATCAGCTCGAACGGTTGAAGTGTTGCTCAGTACTAATAAAAATATTGTTCTGAATGATTGATTCTTACAACTCGAAGGAAGAGCTACAAAAATATATAATTTTCAATTTTTCTTGCAAATAAATATTATTAGATCAGAGAACTTAAGTTTCGCTTAGATACCACTTTTTTTTGCATTTAAGACTTTGTATATTTAACAGATTTCAATCAGAAAAAAGTACAGTTTGCATCAAAACTAACAACATATTTAGGATCATCATAAACGATTGAGTCAACTAGTGTATGTGTTTTGAAGTTTTTTTTTTATTAAACTTTTGTTTTTCGAACAATTCAGCTGAGATATTCCTCAGGCTTCAATCAAAAAACAAATAATTTAATCCCTGTCCTTTTGTTTTCTAGCAACATTTTACAAGCTAAGAAATTCTTTTTCACTAAGCTCTGAAGGGTATCTCAGATAAATTTTTCGAGAAAAAAATAGTTCGATACAAGACTTTGCGAGATATATTAGTCGACTCAGTTTTTTATGATAATTTCGAATTTGTTATTAGTTTTGAGGCGAATTGTATCTTTTTTGATTGATACCTGTTAAATGCAAATAAATGACATTAGAAAAATTCACCTATTATATATTTTCGAATTGTTAGAAACATTTAGAAAACAGTAAGTAGAAGTGATTATATCAGCAAGTNGTTCAGACATTTTTTTTCTGGTCCGAAACTTATATTCATTACGTTCATAATAATCATGTTCAAGACGTACTACGCATTTTACTTTCATTCTCACTAATACAGTACAGAACATGTGAAAACGATTTTCTTATTAAACGACATTCATGTATATTGTCGTTAGTAATTTCTTTCATCTTACAAGCACGTTGATTAACACGTTCTTACAGTAACTGCTATATGATCATACAGTAATTTGTTTGATCTTTAGAATGAATATGTTGAATGTAGATATGCATTTTATTCATCATTTTTTTTAAGAATTCGATTTGAAATTTTAAAAAGTTACAGCTCAATAAAAACTAATTAAAAATATCTTGTTCCAGTAATTAAGAGTAATCGCTATAGAGAAAGAACTTTTCATCTTGTTTCTAATATCCTAAGAAATCTATACAAACTTCAGAACAGATACTTTTATGACTGACACTTTTAAGATATATTTTTGTTTTCTTGTTGGCTTAGTATTTAAATATGCATACGGTAGATACGCTTTTAACTTTAACATTGTTGATTAATCTGAAGTCGAACACATACATGAATGTCGTTTAATAAGAAAATCGTTTTCACATGTTCTGTACTGTATTAGTGAAAATGAAAGTAAAATGCGTATTACGTCTTGAACATGATTATTATGAACGTAATGAATATAAGTTTCGGACCAGAAAAAAAATGTCTGAACGCTTCTTCATTTTTATGTTAAAGTCGAAGATCCACTCTTATGCTTACAGCATGAAAATATGAAACTTATAAAAAGATGCTCAAATTTCATTACGTATAAAATAATTGACATAGTGAAAACTGAATGAATTAGAACTAAGTTTGTTACCAATTTACTTTAATATACACTCAAAAAAGTGTTAGGCCTTTGATATCTAATTTGTTGATTTATTGATGACAAGTTGCTTTCTCTCTTGAAAAAAATAAAATTAATGTGTTAGTTGATTGCTCAACACGTTCTCTGCTTAACAACTTGTATAAGACGATATTTAAAACTTGATAAACGACTACCGATGATCTTTTATATTGAGAATCTGTATTCGAACAGATCGTCAGTCAAAATGTAAAAAAGAAGAACACTTGTTGTCGTCAGTACCTAGATGCAACAAACTTAGTCAAGAATATATTAAGATCTGATGAGTACTGATGATATTTTAAAATATTTCCCATATAATTACTACAGCTTTCGGATATTAAAAATAATAAAAGATTCTTTGTCACCTATTAGTATCTATAAAAATCGTAGTCTAACACATGTTAGTTATTGAAATCAGTACTGAAGTTTGTTCAAACAAACTGTGTTATCTAAATTTTCATCCACCAAATACTATTGCCAATTTTCTGACTTTTCTGCAAAAGTAGAAAATTTTTTTGGTTGATTCCAGTTAGCATTCAGAGAAAAAACAAAAAATTGCTATTATTTAAAAGTATCTTTATTTGAAACTTTCAAAGGCATCGTGAATTTTTTTGAAATCATTCAACACGATATTGTGCTAATTGAATGTTTTGACTTGCCATTGTTCGACATTTTACAAATATGACTTTGAAAAAACTACGAAAAAGCAAATTGATTAAAATGAACTAACTTCTGTTAATTCCAATTATTATTTCAATAATATTCTGAGTTACCATGTGAAAATACCCAGTTTGGAAATTCTAAAACTTGTTTCAAATTTTCGTGCCGTATTCTGTTTTATTTTCTTGCTAAAAGTTCTGTTATCCATAACATGCTAAATTTAAAAGTGTCGGCATTATTTATTAACTTCGAAATGAATGTATGATTGTTAGCATTGAATATGAAGATAGAGTAAACGAAAACAACAATACCATTATGATTATATTTATAAAGTTCTTATAGAATTGATTTGGAAACTTAAAAACAATTAATATCATTTATAGGTTCGAGCTTCTACGTGAAGCAGCAATAAACATAAATTTCTTAATAAAACAAGAATATCTGAACCAAAAGATACTATAAGTTCATATCTTTATGAGACATATTCTATAAAGAATTTTCTTAATAGCTTGTTTCAGAAATCGTTTTTAAATTTAGGACCAAATCATTCTGTAAAATAAAACAATTTTGAATAATAAGCCGATACAATGAAATGCAATTTGGCGTTTAAATTTCTTAAATTCTATAAGTCAGATGAGTTGTTTTTTTTGACTTTCTTTTTTCAAAATTACCCTACTATATCCATGTTCTCTCTTAAATATTGTACTATCATTTTTTCAATGTTGGGAAAGCTGCTAACTAAATTCTAGAATACAACAAAAGTAATGTACAAATGATTGAAACGATTAAATATTTAAGTTCTTCTCTTTTGAAAAAGTGACCTGATTCAATAATGCAAATGATCTCCGTTGTATATAACAACATAAATTTTCAAAGACTTTGAAGGCATTCAGAAGTCTAAGACTTTTCGATAAAGTAAATGCTTGAATTATTTTGCTTAAATAAGATCAACTAATGACTAATATTGTGAAAAATAAGAGAAATTAATCATCTTAGTTTGTAAAACAATGTTATTGGATCTGATTAAGAAAAAAGTACAATCTTCTTATTTTTTAATTGTTTTAGAAAAATAGATATCTGTAAGTCAAACAATCTATTGAGTGTTCTATTAGTAACATTCAGTTCAAGTTGAACGAGAATGGAAAAGAAAAATATAAGGTATAACATGGAATATGATCTGATTGGTTGAAAAAGAGATGGATAAGTTACATTCATTATTGTATGTAGCGTGTATATGTAGCTTATCTTAACCGAGAAAAAAATAACTTATTATCCATGATTGGTTAATTGTATTAACTAATCTGTAGTCTGCACCATTCAAATGCCATGCCATTGTTTATTTTTATTGAGCTGATTTTTTTCAAAAAGTATTCTCAAGATTCGGATATTATCTATTATTTACGAAATTTCTCTTATTTCTATTGCAATTTAATTTTAGAAGATTATTGTTATGTCGACTTCTCGTAATTTTGATTATTTACCAGTAAAAGTGTTAATATTTACGGGTTACGAATTTTTTCAATTCATCAGTTTTAGCTACTGAAGATCCACTTGACATTTTCAATTATGACATTGAAGATGAAGACCTAGAAAATTTGAAAGATCAATTGTGTTTCAAATTAAAAAAACATAAATTCTTGATAAAACCTGGAGTTATTTCAGGCTTTCGTTCATTAAAAGATGCTTTAGAAAAACGACTCAATGAACAATTAACAAGATCGAAGAAAAAACAACAACAGCACATAATAAAAATTATCCTTATCTGAGCACAAAGAATTTGTTCTTAGATTGATCAAAAAATGGTGTTTGGAAAATAAAGAAAACTTCTATCTAGAAAATTTTAATTTAGAAGAAAATGTTGATTATACATTGAACTATTGATTTTGATAACAATAATGATGGAACAGAAAGTATTAAATGTAAATGTGCCAAATTAATTTCATTAGGCAAAAATGATAGTAAAATCCAAGTTTCAAATTATTATAAACATTTGCAATCAAAAGGTTGTGATCATATGAAGAGCATTGTAAAAGCTGACAGAGATTTAAAGTAAATGCAGCAACAATCATCAATATCTGTTGCATCAACATCTATTGTGCGAACATATCCATCTCAGACACATGCACCAGTAATACAACTTCCTGATGTTTCATCAACTACTGTACCAACAACATCTCGCAGTGATTCTCCAGTAGTATCAAATCCAGTTAGACAAAATGGTAAACGTCGTTTGGCTTCACAGTTACAACAGCAACATTCAACAAAAAGAAGTGGCATTTGAACATTTTCTCTTCTCTGTTTTAATGTATTTTAACTTATGTGTGATCTTCCATGTTTTTTTTAATCTTTTTCTGAGTAAATCATTGAAACACTTGAACAATGCGAATATTTCTATTGTATTTTCTCTCGAATACATTAGCAAAAACAAAACGATAATAGCCTGATTTATAAAATAGGTGTTTGTAGTTATACTAAGAAATTTTGAAGTACACGAGATAGGCACGTGTTGGTGTGCGAGAATAAATATTTATTATTGAAATAAAAGATTTAGAGAAGATGGAGACTCGAATCTTGTTGTTGGATGATCTTGAGTTGGTCTTGAAGAATTCGCCAAAATTTGTCCGAGAGGTGTGCGGGTTCTGCGAGAGTGTTTACGTACTGTTGAATGAGATGTGTCTCGCAACGGTGAACTTCGGTGATGATCGCCTTTTTGTCTCGACCGTCATTGACCCAAGCTTTGACGTCGATCCACATTTGATGAGCCGCTGCGAGACCCGTGCCCGATATCACTCTAAATGGAGTTAAAAGATAGTGGATAGAGAGAGAGAGAACTCACGGTTCAAGACCGAATTCGGTTCTGAGAAAGCTTGACAGTTCATCGATGAAGTCGAGGCGGGTCACGGCGACTGTTTGAAAATGTGTTTTAAGTTCACTTCCATTGCAAATCTCGGCACATGTCTTGAAACCATGGTAAGAATCGTAGAGATGCTCCAAGATCAATTGACATCTGTGTCCGGTCTTTTTGCATGCATCAGTCGCATCGGGCGATTCAATGTCGGTTACATGTGAACTCGTGGTTGTATTCGATGAGATCATTTTCTGTCGAGGACGAGAATGAGTGCCAAATAAACAAAGAGGAAGGAAAGAAAGAAAGAAAAGAATGAATAAGTGTCTGCCGGTTTGCTTCCACTTCGACGATAGGAATGACTCATTGGCAGTGGCTTCAACAACTCATCGATCGCTCGCTTTGTACGACAGAGGTCGAATAGTGCCAGGGTGAGTAACACAAGCACACTGGAACTCTAAGACGTGTACCTCATATTGATCATCAGTCATTTATGTATAGAATCGTTACATCGTCGACTCGAATGAATATCAAGTGGATTCGCTACTCGAGAATTCAAATCTAACAGATGTTGTTTGTGAGGCGACCAGAGACCGAATCGAAGAAGCGAATAATTCGATTCGATTCGATTCGACTCAGCCGAATCGAATCGATTACGAATTGGAGTTTTTGAAAAGTAGGTCGAATCGAATATAGACTCTACCGAATAGAATCGAATCGAATGGAAATCCCTTTATTCGGTTTCTTTCCTTAATCAAAATCTACGAGAAAAAAAAGGATGGTCGAAAACCGAAGAAATTTATATATATTTAAAACATAGTTTGTTTGTCTAATAAAGATACAGATCTCTTATTATCGTAGAGCAAAAATAAAAGATTCTTGACATCGTCTCGTAGTCTTTTCCTGGACGAAACTTCTCATTTTCCTATATAAACAGTAATTGAGAAACACAGCAAACTGTCCAAATGTGACGGAATCATTTTTTTCACTTTGTCTATTCAATATCTCAACTCATTCATATCGAATAAAGCTGATATTCTCAGAAAAATATATAAGTCATACTACCCTGTACGTCATTAAATTTTCACTAAATCTGCTCTTTCTGTTACAGTTTTATAATTCAAATATAGGCTCATGACGGAATCACAAAAAGTGGACCTATCTTGAGGGTGTGGGATGTGGGTGAGGGTGTGAGGGTGAGGGTAGGTATCTTCTCCTCACCTAGCCTTCCATCACTCACATCCTCATGCACCCACACGCACACCCTCACCCACCCTCTCGAAAATTTTTATTAAACAATACTGAAAACTAGATATCCTCCTATGAGATGTGACATATCATAGAAAGTCAAGATCTAAAAATTAGTGTAAAAAGAGAATGAACTACTTTCTCTCCGAAAATTTATGTTTGTACGAAAGAGAGTTTTATAGATTTGTCGGTACGGTTATTGAAGCTATTTATTTTATTAGACGAATCGTTATTGAATAATGCTTCAATGAATCAATTATTTCAAAATAATTGTGATATTAAGGATCAGAAATCAACAGAATTTAGAGACAATAGTCTTCAGTCATATAATTGATAAAGGATAACACTGAAAAATGTTTCAAATAGAACAACTTGTCATACTTATTATAACGCTTTTAATTGTTGTACTGAAAAACAAATAGTTATAGAATTTATATTGTTCTAGACTTTACAATTATTAACAATTATTCTTGATAGTCTTCGTAATAAATGTGAGAAATAGAAAAGTCTTTCGCGACAAGTTCTCGATTTACTTCTTGTTTGTTTACAATTCGATGTCACTATTGTTTCATCGAAGAATATTTTTCTTTTTAATCATCTCCAAGTTTTTGTTACTTTCTTTCATATGAGGTCAATCAGTTTGAATATTTATTTTACACAATTGATACCATGTATTTCGTTGTATCATTTGTTGAATAACAACTAATCGATCCATTTATTGTGAATTTTCAAAGCATAAACATATATAGAAATGTTCAATTTTCTTTTTAAATTATGAAACAATTTTCTTATAGTTTAAAACCTTATTAGGATATCAATCGTCAAACTATAAAAATGTATAATTAATCAATACAAATATATTTCTTTGATGTGTTTGTACAAAATTCAACTGAAGATATCCTATCACGTCGATAGAATAATGCCTCACCATTACTCAAATATACACCAGATGATATTTTTTCTCTATAAGTATTGGAAATAATTTTATTATAATTTTAGAAAACTGGTTTTGTCTTATCTTTTGTTTTCAGCGGTCTTCTTCATATTTTGCTACGAATAAACATGCAAAGACTTTTAAACATTTAGCTTCTTGCTCCGGATAATCGGTAGTGGCATAGCGTTTTTTAGTTCAAGTCGTATCTTCATAACAAATACTCAAATGATTGATTAAAAAATTTTGATTTCAAAGTTTTTTAGAAAGAAACTGAATGAATAAATGAAAACTGATTTCTAGTGATAGAAATCAGCTTCATCTCTTCGTTCAAAGTCAAAAGATTTTCAGCCATCATCTTAATCTATACGATGGTGTAATATCATTCATCATTTTATAAATAAAACTTTATTTCAATTTATTATTTACTAATGAACTAACAAAAAAAAAATTTGACTTTCAAATTTGTATGCTTCTATAATATCAATATTTTTTTTAACTAAATAATTTCGAACAAATATGAATCATTTTCTTCATATGTTTATTTAATGATCAAACTCTATCATTATTATTAGAATTGTCATATATCCTTATTGTGCTTTATATACAAGATTTTTAGTTTTATTTGAACAAAGTGCTAAAAATAAATAATTTGTTTGTCTTATAGATTCTTCATTAATTCGAAATCATTTATTTGTTGAATCAATAAATACTTATTGGAATCATTTACGAAAACGAAACAAGTTGTTTTTATTACCATAAAATGTTCTGCGTACAGCCGAAAGAATAAATTTAAACAAAAGGAGTCTTTTAATAGTTGATCTATTGAACTATCCCTTGTATTATGATATATAGCTTTATTACGTTTATCGAAATCAATTGTTTCTCTTCGTGTTGATATTATCTTAACACTTGATGACAAAGAAATTAAATAAATAACTACTTGAGAAATATTTATTACTAATTTAACAAATATTATCAATAAGAATAGTAGTTAGCTCAATAAAAGAAAAAAGTCATTTGTCCTATGAATATAACATTAAAAATTAATGTAGCAAATGATTAAAAATGTAACTTGTAAAAATAGTTATCATGTTATGAATAGTCATAGAGGTATTTTTTTTTTGTTTCTCTATGTTTAATTTGTATGGAAAAAAAAACATATTGAAAATTGAATTAAAAAATGAAAATATCGAAATATTTAAAAACAAAAAATAAAATTAAAATGTTAAAATAATTCACATTTTCGAAATAGATTAATCGATAAAACTATAATGTCAATTATTTTTCTTTTTAAATTGTTAAAGATGAATTAAATGTAAATTCAATTATAAAATCAACAATAGATTGAACTTAAATAGAAACAAGAATTGATTTTAATTCTATAGATAAGAACAATATTAATTCGAAACGAAATACATTTAATCAAAATCAAAATCTAGACTTGGCAATTTTTCGTCTATATATTTATGTCCGAGAGAATATTTTCTTCGGTTTCAGAACACTTCATTTTATAATTTTAAATAAGATGTGCTTCATTTTTTATTTTAACGATAAAGAAAAGTATTTCTACAAATCATTATTTCAATATAAAATATTATTCTTATATCAATTTTGGAATGTGACATATCCATGGATGAAAAAGTCATTTTGAATTGATTATCTGAGGAAATAAATCAACATAGATCATGAAAAAATCTCGACGATATATCTCAATTAGATTAGATGGAAAGTCTATGACTGTAAAAATATTTCTCTTGAATTCTGTATAATCTTCAAATAGCTTCTCCTCTCGAAAACAATAAGTTCAATTTTTTCGGAAATTATCTTAATTTCAATTGAAAACGGACTTGTTTATAAATATTTTCATTTCTATTTCATCTATTTTAATAATTTTAACAATATTTTCTTTTTTCAATCGGATAAATGAAATATTTCTCTGAATATTTAAATTCTTCAAATTTACTTATTCAGTTCTCTCTTCCTGTAGAATTTCCTACGGATATCAATGTTACATGCTTTTCTACTTTCTATTGATGTTCCAGTATTATGGCATACATCAACAGGTGCATTAACTAAAAAATATGATCTAGATGTTTTTTGTTTCAAGACAACGATTAATATCAAATAAAATAAATTAAATTAATCATGATGAATCAACACCAGTTTTAATTTATATTAAAAGTTTATAATCAAGTTCAAATAGTTAACTATATTTAGTAACATTAACAGATTTTATATAAATTTGTTTTCATAC